CAAACGGCCAGATCCAGGTCTGTGGGCTTACGACAAAACGGGAACGACAACATTATTAGCAAGACATCAGAGAATTAACCGGTGTACTCAACGATTTCTGGCACAATACTAGGTGAATGCCTGTGGCACCTGAGTCCGAATGCAAGCGGGATTTGAACCAGTATGACTCGGAGCCGAGCCCTAAGCGGAAACCACATCCTTAATCCATGATCGGTCCAATTCACTTCTTCGCTGTGACCTCCCATCTACATTTCAGTAATCATACCATCGTGCAGGAGTAATTGGGGGCTTTGTAGCGGAGGAAATCGAGGTTCAGAGCAACACGAGCATTCCAAGGTTTTACCTGTGGGGCGAGTCTTCGGAAACCCCAACCCGAATACGATGGGCGCCCTTCGAGCGAACTTGATCTTTAATCGAGTCGTGCAGATGCTACAACACGTCATGTGGGGCTCAGACTCGAGAAACTCGTGTAGCGAAAAATGCGTCTGGACCACTGTAAAGCGGAGGAAGAATGGCGATGAGCCAGTCGTTCTGATCGTTGTAAGGACTTCTCCGTGGGACATGTAACTTCTCGTGACCGTGGCTCCAATTTCTGCTCTTCGTAACGGATTCATCTGGTACAGAGCATTGGATGAGGTGAAAGACTGGCAAAGTTGGAAGCGGTATGGGCGAACCGCAACTAGACCCTCTCGGTGACGCAACGCTGTCTCTGGGAGCTTCTATACGAAGAATCCTTATATAAAAGTCTCAAGCCTTCTGGCCAGAGACATAATCGACATTCGAAGATCCTCTTTTACACACCCTATTCAAATCTGACCTGGATCTCTTGGCGCGATCTCATTTATACGACTACTCATCATGGGTAGATACGAATTCCTTGCCATACTTCTACTTGGTGAGATATCTACTACGCGCCGCTCACTTGGCGACGCATTGGGCGCATACAACTGACAAAGCAGGGCAAAGTCGCAGGTGTTGAGCCTCAAGTCGGCAACCCCGGCGGCAACAGTGCCTGTGCCAAATGGTGTGCACAGAACTTCCCCAGTAATCCCGGATCCTGCACATCGCAGGCAGCCAAGAATGGAGGGCCGTGTTTTGAATGCGGCCCACTTCAAAAGTCACCGATAACGAAGAAGCTCTGTTCCGGGGTATGTACTGATATCACCACCGTGCAAAACTGCGGCGACTGTGGCCATGCAGTAAGTAGATCGACCTCTGAACATCAGTTTTCACTACCGTCTCTAACATGCAAGGGTTAGTGTGCAGCAAGCGAGATCTGTAATTCTGGTGTTTGTCGTCCACGAAGCAACTGCAATGACCACAACCAGTGTGGTGTTGTGGGGTGTGGGAGCTGTGGCTGCGGCGGCGGGACTGCCTGCCACACTGGCCAGGAGGATATAAGTGCCGGGTATTGTGTCTTCTGTGCAGATTGTAGCCAGGTCCCTGGTGTTTGTGGGTCCAATAAAGATTGCCCAGAACACAGTATCTGCGTGCAGACCTGTTGTACCGGCGATCACTTTACCCCTGGCACTGGTACCCCTAGATGCATTCCACCGGAATTTCTGAAGTGTTCTTAAGCAGCAAATTATCTCCCTCTCTCTGGTTTTCTCCCGACAGTTTCGATTCGCTGCTTAGCAGCAATTCGCACCTTTGGAAAGCTAGGTTTGTTTAGGTCAAAAGTGTACGTTACCCTAGCAGGAAGCCAAGCCACGAGAAGAAAAATGTTGATGTCGTCAAGTACGGGGTATAATTTCTGCTAACCAGCCGTTAAGTATATCTGCTATGCCTAGAGTAGAGAATAACAAGAAGCCTTATCAAGGAAGTCTGACTCTCTAGGAATACAGAAGAGCATCCGTCTTGAGCATCTATGTTACAGAGCTATTGGCTGCATATGATCTCCAGGGTAGCATATCGATTGGGGTTGTTGGGGACTTGGAAAACATCGGACCAGACATTTTGGCCAGTGGAGTCTCAAACGGAGAACAGGGGGTCAAGCACTACTGGAAGGACTCGCTCTAACAATAGAATAGTTGTCCAGGAATTGGATTGTTAGAGGCTTTTGAAGTAAGACTATGGATCTAAGTACAGCAACTAGGATCTAATCTGGCAAGGGGTAGCTCGCTGTATTCAGGATGAATATCGTAAGATAGCAAAAAACATACAACAGAAGGTATTCGCTGGTGGTCACCCACCCAACTACTAACCTCCCGGCGTGTGGCTTAAGTACGGCTGAGCGGACGGGAAGCCCTGTTTTCCACACCCTGTGG